ACCTTTCACTGACACCATAGATGGAGCGCTATTCTTTCCACTGATGCCAATAATGGGGGACTATTCCTTCCACTGACACCAATGATGGCACACTATTCCTTCCACTGACATCAATGATGGGGGACTATTCCTTCCACTGACACCAATGATGGGGGGACTATTCCTTCCACTAACACGAATGATGGGGGACTATTCCTTCCACTGAAACCAATGATGGGGCACTATTCCTTCCACTGACACCAATGATGGGACCAGGGGCGGACTGACCATTTGGAAACTCGGGCACTGCCCGAGGGCCCGGGGTCAGTAGGGGGCCCCATGAGATGCCCCTGGTACCTTTTTCATAGGCTTTTTTGAGTTTGGGCAAGGACACAGGGGCCCCATGATCCCCTATTGCCCAGGGGCCCCATGAGTTGTCAGTCCGCCCCTGAATGGGACACTATTCCTTCCACTGACACCAATGATGGGGCACTATTCCTTCCACTGACACCAATGATAGGACACTATTCCTTCCACTGACCACCAAGCCTGAGGCATTGTTTACTCCTAGTGATGCTAGATCCTTTTCTTCTCCCACTATCCACAGCCTGACCCCCCTAAAGTCTGAAGGACAGTAAACTAGCCCTTTATGTAGAAAGTTTGTAGACCCCTGGTTTAGTCTTTCAGCCACTGGCTTCCTATATGTGTATATGCCCTGCCCTAAGCCATCAGTTTCTTTATTCAAAATTTAGCGCTGCTGGGCAGTAGTCAGCTTAGCATATAAAATGGTAACCATCCCAACCTATAACTAGCCTTTGCAGCACGGAGCGCACGAGAGGGCAATGTACATGAAAAGAAAACAAAAATGCACAGATTTCTTACCAGCTAACCTGCAAAAAAAAAATCCAAATTAGCCCTGTCTAACAGTTCATATAAAATCACTGGGTTTTGTCACACACATTTACAAATATACAGTATATGTAAGCCACAGTAGCCATGTCAAGGCACCCCAGTGTACTGCGGTCCTAACTCTATAATTGTGAGTCTCCCAAGTTGGAGCTCATAGCAGTAGATGGTTTAAGGGCAGGTTTGCCTGGAGGGAGCCCACCCTTCAACCACTTGCCTACCGGGCACTTTCACCCCCCTTCCTGTCCAGGCCAATTTGCAGCTTTCAGGGCTGTCACACTTTGAATGACAATTGCGTAATCATGCAACACTGTACCCATAAGACAATTTTACCATTTTTTTTAGAAAGATATAACTTTCATTTGGTGGTATTTGAACACCACTGGATTTATTATTGTTTGCTAAACAAATGAAAAATGACAGAAAATTTTGAAAAAAAAATTTTACTACTTAGTTTCTGTTATAACATTTTGCAAATAAGTAATTTTTCTCCTTCAGTGCTAATGAGGCTGCACTGATGGGCACAGATAGGCTGCACTGATGGGAAACTGATTAGACAGCACTGATGAGGCTTCACTGATATGCAGCACTGATAGGCAGCACTGATAGTACTGATGGGCACTTATGAGGCTGCACTGATATGTGGCACTGATGGACACTGATAGGCAGCACTGATGGACACTAATAGGCAGCACTGATAGGCAGCACTGATGGGCACTAATAGGCAGCAATGATAGGCAGCACTGATGGGCACTGATAGGCAGCACTGATGGACACTGATTGACACTTATGGGGCTGCACTGATCATCAAGACACTGATGATCAGTGCTCTGATAATCAGTGTAGATATTCCCATGAGAATCGCACAGTGTGTGAGGAGAAGACTGCCGATAACTGGCAAGTCTGTTTACACTGTGATACGCTGTGATTTGACACAGCTGATCCCATAGTAAAGGGCCACTGTGATTGGTCCTTTACCTCTCTCTGTGATCAGCTATGTCAGAAGGACACAGCGATCACAGAGCACTCCTGATGCACGCCCCAAGGGTGTGCAGGGGGGGGGCGCAGTTCTGGGAGGACATCAATAGAGAAGACGCATTCCTGGAGAGGACACATTCCTGGACACATGTGTATAGGGAAGGAAGTGTGGGGCCTGAAAGCTTTCACTTCCAGCAAAGTGAAAAAAACAAGAAGCGCACAAACCTTGCGCATTACCTCAGTAACCAAAATGTATTAGTAAAGGAATGGTACTCACAAACAGCGAATAAAAACAGGCATGTAAGTCCTCCAAGGGACTTCAGAGACAAGAGGCCAGCGCGAATCTCATCATGGGGGTAGACACTCAGTATAGCTGACGCGTTTCGAAGGTCATACCTTCTTCCTTCAAAACGCATCAGCTGTACTGAGTGGCTACCCCCATGATGGGATTCGCGCTGGCCTCTTGTCTCTGAAGTCCCTTGGAGGACTTACATGCCTGTTTTTATTCGCTGTTTGTGAGTACCATTCCTTTACTAATAAATTTTGGTTACTGAGTTAATGCGCAAGGTTGGTGCGCTTCTTGTTTTTTTTTTTCACTTTGCAGTATTGTTCGGGCTTCCCCAGCCTTGTTTTGGAGCTGCACGACCTTTCATGCTCTGGTGGTCATCTCGTTTGGGTTTGATTTCACCTACTCGCCACCGGCCTGGGTCCTGGAGCGCAGGAGGAATCGTATTTGGTCCACCAGCTTTCACTTCCAGGCCAGAGAATATATTTTGGAGGAGTGAAGCTGGAACCTAGTTTAGAGAACCAGTGGTCAACTTCTTCTGGACAAGTATCCAGAAGAGCCATATGCAAACTTGGATATGGCAGAACGTGTGGTGGCTCCTCCAGAGTGCTTGTCTATTGCACCACTATACTGCTTACAGAGTGCTTGTCTGGCTTAAAGGTTCTTTTCTTTGTGTCTATAAGTAGAATGCAGGGTCCTTTATTGGGTACATTATGCCCTAATCCACCTCTCCCTGGGTTTATGGGTTTAAATAAACTCTATCAACATTTCAAAATTAACTGGCACCCAATGGTTTATGTCCCACAAAAAGTCATAGATCCAGCTCTTAGGTGAAATGTCAATACCCAAACAGGGGCGGACTGACAACTCATGGGGCCCCCGGGCAATAGGGATCATGGGGCCCCTGTGTCCTTGCCCAAACTCAAAAAAAACCTATGAAAAAGGTACCAGGGGCATCACATGGGGCCCCCTACTGACTCGGGGCCCTCGGGCAGTGCCCGAGTTTCCAAATGATCAGTCCGCCCCTGCACCCAAACTAGCTGAAGGTTCCTAGTTAACCTTCAGGGTTGAAGGGGTACTAGATATGTCTTGAATACTCCAACAGCAAGTTCTCCTTGCCATAATTCCTTCTGATCCTGCCAGTAACACAGGATGACAACATTCACTCACTGTACAGTACTGTATCTGTGGAGAAGCAACATTGTCACCCTACTAGAGTGCACCTCCCCTCTCCTTATCCCCATACCATGGGGGGGGGGGGGGGGGGATTTTGTAGTGGAAGATTAGCTGGTAACATTTTTTAATATTTCACTTCAGTTCAGGGGAAGTTACAAGAACACTGGATTTCTGGCAGGATCAACAAGTATTTTTCTGTACTTGCACAACACATTCTTAGACATAGGAAACTAATGCAGCCACCCATCTCAGGATTGATAAACTGCAATATATAACATTTTTGTACTTGAGTTTAGATATACTCTAAATGTATTCCTAATTTCTCTTCAATGAAGAAACTTTTTTTTTTTCAAATACTAATCTTGTCATTCAAGAACAATTCATAACTCAGACGAGGAAGTTTTCTCAATTAAAAAAAAACAAAAAACGTTGTACAAAACAAATATTGTTTTCAGAATATTCATTGATTCCATTCATCTCCTTTTTGGTTGCGGCGGGGCTGTGCATGTGTTTGGAGCGGCACAGGACGCCGCGGGGAACGATCGCACTAATGACGCCTCATTGTAACACGTTTGGTTTTTCTTTCTATTTTTTTTAAGCTTTTGTGAAAGATGCCTCTTCAGCAAGTGTCCTAATTACAGAGGAAATGTTCCATTGTGAATTTGCCTTCTTTCTCTAAAGGAAAATGCACAGGAAGGAAGAAGTAAAAACTCATACAAACAGATGAAATAAGTAGTTGTTGTTTTTTTACCACCATCCCGGAGATGTATGAGCTCCAGACATGTGCGTCTGAATGCTTTTGTTAAAGGGGAAAGGAGGCTTTGAGTGCTCTAGACCATACGGAAGTGTAATTCCCATGATGGACAGGGTGCTGATGCTTTAATAATGGGAAAGATGGTCCACCCTCCATCCCTCTAAGGTATACCACCACGTATGTTCTTCAATTTTGGCAGATGCAAGGCTTTTAATTAGTGGAATTGCCAGTTCATACATGGTCCTAGTGAAGGGGGGGTTGGAGCAAATTTGGTGGGGCTGACTTCTTTTTTAGTCTTAAAGATGCCTCTCTTGAGCTTTTTAACACATATAGACCATTGAAATAAATTTCAGGTCTCAGGGAACCCCACAAATAATTACTATATTAGCATTGTGGTCAGTGGGAGCAATGCTTCTTACATTGAAGTTCACTGGTACGAATCTTCCTAACATTTGTGGTCAGTGGGAAGAAGGCTTCTTACATTGATGGTTAATGGGAAGAATGTTCTTGAAATTGGTGTGGGAAGAATGCTCCTAACATTGGTTGTAAATGGGAGGAATGTTCTTTATATTGGTGGTTAGTGGGAAGAATTTTCTTTCCATTGGTGGTCAGTGGGAAGAATGCTTCCTACATTTGTGGGTAGTGGGAAGAATACTCCTTACATTGGTGCTTAGCAGGAAGAATGTTCTTTATATTTGTGGTTAGAGGCAAGAATGTTGCTTACATTCATGGTCAGTCAGAAGAATGTTCCTTACATTGGTGGTCAGTGGGAGGAATGTTCCTTACATTGGTGGTCAGTGGGAAGAATGTTCCTTACATTGGTGGACAGTGGGAATAATGTTCCTTACATTGGTGGTCAGTGGGAAGAATGTTCTTTACATTGATGGTCAGTCAAAGAATGTCCCTCACATTGATGGTCAGTGAGCAGAATGTTCCTTACATTGGTGTTCAGTGGGAAGAATGTTCCTTACATTGGTGTTCAGTGGGAAGAATGTTCCTTACATTGATGGTCAGTGGGAAGAATGTCTCTTACATTGGTGTTCAGTGGGAAGAATGTCCCTTACATTGATGGTCAGTGGGAAGAATGTCCCTTACATTGATGGTCAGTGAGCAGAATGTTCCTTACATTGGTGTTCAGTGGGAAGAATGTTCCTTACATTGGTGATCAGTGGGAAGAATGTTCCTTACATTGGTGATCAGTGGGAAGAACGTCCCTTAGATTGATGGTCAGTGGGAAGAATGTCTCTTACATTGATGGTCAGTGGGAAGAATGTTTCTTATACTAGTGGTAGTGGGAAGAATGTTCCCTTTGCATATAGCAAAAATGATCATTGATGTCAGCAGTTACATATCTGCGAGACAGAATATACCAATTTTCTACAAACCTCTTAATGGAATTTTAAGGGCAAGAGGCAGAAATGATTCATCTGAAAGGCAGAAATTATTCATTGTTCAAGGAAGCCCTAGCAATCTCTAGAGAAACCCTAAGTTTACACAGAAGCCTGGTTAAGAAAGGCTGGATTAGATGGTTTATTGTTGTTATTTCCTAGAGGTTCTTACATTTTGGGGTAGAAACTCTTTGAAGGCCATTCCATAGACGCTCTTTTTTTGGTTATCCACCTCCAAAGGATATTCAAAATAAACAGATCAGAGGCTATTAATATATAATGATAAATAATGCCTAACATACAGTTAACTTAGATTATAGAAAGATGGACATTTTTCCTTTCTTCATCCTTTGTTATACATTATTTTGGTGCTGTTGATGTAGTTTGGCCTCTTTGCAACCACTTCCTGTCTACATGCACTCCAGCAATGGCTGCATGGCATTTCTCAGGGTAGATTTCCTGATGGAGATAACAATGGACCATACCTGCCTAATGTATATCTCCATCATAAATAAAATATTATTTTATTCTTTTTTTCATCCTTTGTTACTGCTTACCTCCCTGCAGCTTCTTTATTTCCACATCCGGACTAACTGCGCTCTAGTGATGGCTGCAGGGCAGTTCTCAGACCGGATTTCTGGATGGAGACAACAGTGGACCATACCTGCCCAATGTGTGTTGACATGGCCACTTGTAGTCTCCATTGGAAGCTCATATGCAGGAGCACCATTGGAAAACAGGGACTGAAGATTGTCACCTTAAAACAGAAAGTGACTGAATGAAAGCAGGCAACAGCATTAATATGAAGGACAGGCAACATCAAATTAATGCTCAAGGTTTTGGTAATAGGATGTCAAGCTTACTTATGTATGATAGGCAGATCCCAAAAACCTTTGGCCATATAGTGTATCTCTGCTTTAAAATAATATTTTCCAAAGGTTAATTGTAAATATAGACTCTGTTATCTGTTTTATGTGGGCAATAATTGTATTCCAGAATACTTGTATATTTGGGGAGAAACACCGTAAACAACAAAATGAATCAGGTTCCAACACTAATAAAGTTATCCGTAGAATGAATCACTAATAAAGAATCAGTAGCCCTTCCAACACTCTCTAAAAAACAAAGGTCAGATCTGGTGTAACAAGTCAGCACTTTGTGCCATTTTGCCAATAATGAAATGGGGACATTTTATGGTACTTTTGTCTATTTTAAAAGACTATGTATAAAAATGGGGACAAAGATTTTTAAGGGCAAACCTAATACGAAAGACGAGTGACTTTTTAGATAATTTGTTGGATCAACCAATCCAATTAACATTTAATTGTCAAACAATTAGACACATGTGCCCTTACAAAACTATACTATAAAAAATATAAGAAACATGAACAGGTTCTGTCATAAACATGAACAGTGCCAAAAGAAGCAATATGTACCAAAAAATAGCACTTGCACAGAAACTGAATATAAAATGTCCAAATAAAGTCTTAATTTATAAAAAAAGTGTGTTTTGCATGTTTTTAAACACCACGTGCTCTTCTTCACCCACCGTGTTCAAAGCAAACACTCTGCACTCATCAAATAAATTTGACCTCTTGCTAGAAACAAAGTAAACAAACTAAAAAATCCCAGCGCCAATCAAAGAAAGTATACAATTATGCAGCTGTGCACCAGTGAAAACCACCAATAATGAATAACACAAAAAACAGCGCAAAAATAAATAAATAAATAAAAATAATCACAAATAAATAAATGTCCGTGCAAAAAAAAAAAAAAAAAAAAAAAAAATAAAATATATATATATATATATATATATATATAATTTCAAACATAAGTCCTTATTTTCCCAAAAGGATTTTCAAGACAATGTTCCAAAATGTGCTTCCACCTAATCACCACGTGAAAAATAATATTGACCGCACTCACCAGATGGAGGTGAGTAATAAGCCTCATAGGATATAAGGGATCCTATAGCCCTTCAAGAGGAACTCAAATCACCTTCTTCACCCTGCTTAGATACAGCAATCGACTCCACTCTACTTCTCCATGGAATCCTCAATAATGTGCAAGGAAAGAAAGGCTACATAGTGTAATACTGCCACTCAATACCATATAAATCCATAGAATAAGGACACTCACATGTTTTCAATAAAATAACAGGCCTTGTTTAATAGCCTCAAAGGCTTCAAAGGAACAAGTTTCCAAATTGTAAATATAGGGATCTCACGCTTTAAGAATCACTGTAGAGGATGACCAGCTTTCCACCTCTAAAATGGCCGCTTGAACCGCAAAAGTTGGCGTGCGTTCCAAATACCGGAAGTGACGTAGGCCAAGATGACGGCAGACCGGAAGTGCGTCAACGCGTTTCGCCCCACCCACAGGGCGTTCTCAAGACGAAACAAAGTGCCTGCTGGTATAATCTTAAAACAACAAGTACACCACTGGACCAAGAACACAATACAACCAAGAAGAATTTCTTGGGAATATTGTTGCCAATATCTCCACCCCCAGACCCACCTTGCCTCTCTTTGGCCTTCTTAGGTGCGTTCCAGCTGAAGTAGAAGTGACATACCGGAAGTCCCTCCCTACATGTTTCCTTTTAGTACGTCACTTCCACTTCAGCTGGAACACACGCTTGGGAGTCAGTGGCACTTCCTGATGTTTCAACAGTAATTATAAGACTATTTGCATATGGAGTAAGTGTAATTTTAGTAATTAGTGGAGTAAATAAACAGTTTCACACTATGGGAGGCCTCTCTCATTTTTCCTTCAACATTCCGGTGCACCTAAGGGGACCAAACAGAGGCAAGGTGGGACCAGTAGTGGCTATATTGGCAGCAAAATTCCTGAGAAGTTCTCATTGGCTATATGGTGTTCCCGACTTTCATCAATTGCTCCAGTGGTGTATGGTTATACCAGCAGGCACCTTTTTAACCTTCTTGTTTCTAGCAAGAGATCAACTTTTTTTGGTGAATGTGGAGTGTTTGCATTGGACACGGTGGAGTGGAGCACAAGTTTATGTTACTGAAGGACATAGTGTTTAAGAACGCTCAACAACACACTTTTTTGTTTATTAGGACTTTATTTGAACAATTGATATTCATGTTTTATGCAAGCACTGTTTTTTGTTATATTCCTTAGTTTTGGCACTGTCAAGGAGAACTTCTCAGGAATATTGCTGCCAATATAGCCACTACTGGTCCCACATTTCCTAATTTTTTTTATGTTATAGGTTTTGTGAGCATGGGTGTATCTAGTATTTTGAAAATAACTTTTACCTGGATCAGGTGATCCGATAAATGATCTACAAAGTTACTCATTTTGAGTGCTAAGACTTTATTTGGACATTTGATATTCATTTTTAATAAAAGTTAATTTTCTCTTGATCTGTTGCTGCAATCTGTTTTTTTTCCTAGGAGCCTGCTGCAAGGTATGCAAGGGTGTTGCAGAGCTAAACAATGTAGCTTTAACTAGTTTAGGTCTGGTGTTGAATTATATGGTATGGAAGCTGCTGAGGATTATAACAAATGGTTTTGAGAAAGTTTGTAGCAAGTGGGGGATTTCCCTCATATGCCAAACTCTACTGGCAACTTTTTTGGTGTTACAGCAACTCCTCCTCCTGGTGGGTGATAGGGGCTTTACTCAAGACTAAGCATCAGCTGGTCTACAGCAGAGCCCCTAATTGTGGATATGACCTGGGAGCCCTAATGGCCCCCGAAGTTCTTTTCTGCAAGATGGACCTAGGTCAAGGCCCTCAAGATTGCCGCACCAAGCTAAGGGGTGAGTACAGGAAGGATATGATTTGGTAACTGTAAACTAGGGGATCAGCAAAAGAATAGTCAGGTCCAGCAGGGTCAAGGCAGGGGGAAATCAAAGGAATAGTCTAGTCCAGGCAAGGGTCAAGGCTGGCAGCAATCAAGAGTTTTCAGGTTCAGGCCAGGGCAAGCAAGATAATTGAATCTGGGCAGGAGTTGAGGCAGGCAGCAAACAAAAGACTAGTCAGGTTAACCAAGGTCAGCAACAGTCAGGCAGTCTTGAGAGTAAATATTATAGCTTCTTTGCAACATGGGTCTGCTGGTGAGAAAACACAGTGGGAGCTATTTGAAAGCTGCAGTTTAAATACACTTTTGGTGGCAGGACATGCCCAATGTTGTTTCAGGGAGTACTGAAGGGATTCTACAAGAACCATAACAAGTACTGACAAAGGTTCTGCAAGTGCCATTGGAAATGCTGGGTGGGATACTGGAAATTCTGTCAGAAGTCCTAGTTGTCCTGAAAGTAACACATCTGGAAATTAAGGACAATTGGCCACATGACAATTCCATACAAACAGAACCAAGTTCAATAATTGTAAGGTAATTCCCATATGGCGACTGGCGAATAGATATGCACATGTGCCCAGCATCGCGCATAGAAATAAGCACAGTCGCATTGCTAAAAAAAATGAGCATAGGCTTGCGCATGTGCCAGATGGGCTATTTAAGGGAGGCTCTCATTCTGTCGTGCTGACTGGTCTTCATCTGTTTCCTTGTGTCCTCCTTGTAGTCTGTTTGTTATCTGTTGCTGACCCGGCTTTCCATTGACCTGCCCTTGGATCCTGTTTATGCTTCTGCTCATCAGTTTCTAATCCTGGCTTACTCCTGACCACATTCCTGTCTAATGTATTGGTACCTCATCGCCTGCTTGTTGCTGACCCCAGCTACCCACCAGATTACGCTTCTGGCTACAGTTCGTCTTTACAGTCCTGCCGAGTGCTTGCTCTGGCTGCTATCATATCAGCTCCATTGGTCACAGTATGTTCCAGCCTCACACTTGTTAGAAATTCCAGCAAGCCAAGCACCCAGATCTTGCAGTTCCACTAGAGTGCTCTTTTAACCTTGGCTGCTCGTTCCTGCATCTCCTCTGTTCATGACCGAATGCCCTGCCTGATCTACCGAGTTTACACCTCTGTAATCAACATCTGCAGGCACACTTGTTCCTCTT